GAGCCTGGAGCCTGTTTCCGATTCTGTGTCTCCCTCTCTCTCTGCCCCTCCCCCGTTCATGCTCTGTCTCTCTCTGTCCCAAAAATAAATAAACGTTGAAAAAAAAAAAATTTTAAATTGTGACATTTGTTTCTGGAGAGGTGAATATGGGGGTGAGAAGGGTGGAGCTGGGTACTGATGGTTTCTATTATAAACAAAAATGCAATATGTGCTTATTACAGAAAAAAGGAAAAGTAAAAATGGGAATAAAAGAGTCTCAATACTCCCTACATCTAAAGATAAACACTATTAACCTATTAGTGCCTTTTGAGTTTATGTGAATTTTTATATATTATTGAAGTATGATTTGTATATTTTATATTTTACTTTATTCACTTAACAAAAGCATTTTCCCAATTCTTATGTTTTTCACATAAATATTTTCACAGCAATTTATTGTATTATATAATAGATACCATTATTTAGTGTAACAATTTAGGCTTTTCCACAATATTTTATTATAAAAAATTTCTAACAGAGACAGGTAGAAATATATAGTGTATATAGTGTGTGTGTGTGTGTGTGTGTGTGTGTGTGTGTGTGTGTGTGTGTATATATATATATATATATATATATAATGTATAGTGAAAACCGTAGATCTACCACCTAGGTTCTACAATTAACATTTTACTACACTTTCTCTATCTCACATTTATCAATCTATCTATCACTCTATCCATTCATTGATCCATTTTATGTTTTTAAGCATTTCAAAGTAAGTTGTAGACAACACTTTATCAGGCATATTGTTAACTAGAGTTAACATCTGTGTATAGTTCTTTTTCTTAAGTAAATTTTACATATATAATGATATGCACAAATCTTAAGAATGCCATTTGATGAATTTTAACAAATGCACATTCCTATGTACCCAAATCCCCTATTAAGATTACAATCACCCCAAAAAACTTCCTCATGTGCCCTTCCCTCTCAATCCATATCCCTACCCTCTACAACCTATAAAAGCAATGTTCTAATTTTTAAAACTTCATATAATTGCAATATATAAATGTTCTTTTTAACATAAGGCTTTTTCCACTTAGCATAATGACTCTGAGATTCATGCATGTTGTGGAGTATATCATTAGTTTGTTCTTTGACCTTGCTGAGGCACATTCCTTTGTATGAATACACAACAGTTTGTTTAATCTATTCTGTTGCTGATGGACACCTGGGTTGTTTCTAGTTTTTGCCTGCTATGAACATTCTTTATTTTTTTAATGTTTATTTATTTATTTTGAGAGAGAGAGTGAGAGAAAGAGAGGGAGAGCTGTGGGGGGGGCAGAGAGAGAGGAAGATAGAGGATCTGAAGTGGGCTCTGCTCTGACAGCAGAGGGCCCAATGTGGGGCTAATTCCATTACCTAAGTTATCTCAGGGTTTCTATTTATTGCTCATTCTTTGGCCATGGGTCACATTTTTCTGTTTCTTTGCATATCTAGTAATTGTTTAATTGTATACTGTGAAGTGTGGATGATATTTTATAGAAACAGAAGAGTGTTTGTTTTGGATCTAGCAGGAAGTTGGATGAATGGCTGATCATCCAACTTGTGGCAGCTTCAGTTTACGCTTTGTTAGGGTGAATCTGTTTTGGCTATACATTAGAATTAGGGAAAATCCTTTGCCCCAGGACAAGACTTTACTCCTGAGGCATAACTCCTAATTTTCACTGGAAAGCACAAGGTGTTTATCAAGTCTCTCTAAATCTGTGAAATTCAAGTTCCAAGCTGTCCCTCATGTGACAGATTGCAGCTGAAATCACTGTTCAACTTTTTCAGGTTTCCAGTTGTTATTTTCTACCAGGCTCCTTGGAGTCTCCCTTGAATATGCACATTTCATGGATCAGGCAAAGATCTGAAGGAAGTTTATGTGCATATTTGGTGTTTTGCCCATAGCTCCTTCTTTCTGAGATTTCTACCTTCTGATTCCTTCTGAGATCTCAAACCAATATAATCATGTATTTTGTTTGAGTTTTAGCCACAACATACTGCATGGATTCTTAAGTAACCACAGATCTCACTAGTATCATTCACTTCTTTCAAGGATTGAATAACTTTTTCCAGTTTTTGCTGCCTTTTGGTCGCTCTCCAGTGTGTGTGTGTGTGTGTGTGTGTGTGTGTGCGTGTGCGTATTATTTATTTATTATTTATTTGGTCCAGATTTAGCACTGATAACTGATACAAACTACTGCACTACTTCTGTAGTTGGAACTTCATCCCAGTAACTCTTGCTGGGTTGGGCAGGACCAATCATTAAGTCATGTATCTTCTATTCAAAATCCAAGAGCATGAACTTTCAAATCAAAACAGGCTAACTATATAGACCTATTTATTTATTACTTTGGACTCAGGGTTCTTGTTCAAGCTCCAAGCTCAATATTCCAGTACTGAATTGATTCTTTTGGCTACCTATATATCGATATATATTGGCAAATTCTATGTTCTTTTAATTTTTTCTGATAATGACTCTTGATTTCTTTACATTATTAAGAAATTCACCTCGACATTTCTCAGGGTTAGAGAAACATGGTATTTGGCTTTAATTTTCATTGAATTCTTCTGGCCAGGATTTCCTGGAATTGTTCCATGACTACTCCAAGTCTTGATTGAAAACTATGGCTGGAAGGGATAAATGGTGGATTCCAGGTGCTACTGGTTGTCCCCAGATGAGTGCTGGTCCTGGAGCCAAAAGAAACACAACCCCTTGCCTGCTTTGGGGGGTATTTTTAGAGTAGTTGCAAACACATGACATTTATCTTGAGAAGTGGCCAATATTTTAAAAATAGCTAATAAACAAAATATATTTATAAAAATTTTATTTCTCCACTATAAACAAAATACTGTGCTCACTTCATTCCATTTGTGCTATGGAAAGTGTTTGAATATGGAAGAAAAACTTTTTCCAATCCTCCTTGTCAGTCATAGTAACTGAGTAAGCCTTACATTCTTACCCAATAGTTTTCATACACTGATCTCTTAATTTCTCCTTATAAACACTGCAAATTCTTCAAGCTCCAGCCTTTACACTACATTATCCAGATAGCCTTTGATTAAAGACAGTGAAGAGAATTTGAATTGCCCAGTAGAATGTAATGTTTTCAGTAAAAAAAGCATTGTTGTGTAATCAAAGTAGTAACAGTTAAGAGAATAGCCCTTGGAGTGAGACAGACTCAACTTTAAGTTCACAATCTGCCATTTACTGTGTAATGTTTGGATTTTCTACAACTTCCTTTAAGTTATGTAAGAGATAAAAGTATCCCCAAACTCATTTGGTAGCTGTGAAGATCAGTTATGGTAAGGCATAAAAGGTTTACAACAGTTCCTGCCACATTATGATCATCACTATTGCTATCTTCTCTCAGTAAAGGCCCAATAAACAATAGACTAAATAAGCATGTTGGAACTAAATGATATTCTGGTGGAACAGAAAAACACACAAATTACAATAATAAATTAAGAGAAAAATATAAGTTGTATAAAGTACCATGGGAAAAAAAGAGCTAAGAAAGAAAATTAAACACAATCCGTTTCAGATAGGATCATCAGGGAAGGCCTCTCAAAGAAGATAACATGTCAGTTGAGTATTTAGAGATGAGAAGGAGCTAGCCACATAAACAAATAGGACAACAGCATTCTAGGCAGAGACAATAGCACATACAAAGATCCTGAGGAAGACATGCATGTGAACCTTCTAAAAAATGAAAGACCATTATGGTGTTGGGACACAATGAGTAAGGTTAGGGTGGTACTAGAGGTCAAACTACTAGAAGCAGCAGAGGTCAAACACAAGGCACCTTCCTTATAGGACAGATAGAGAGTTTGGCCTTTTGTCTAAGTGCAAAGGGAAGCCACTGAGGGGTTTTAAACATGGGGAAGACAAGATCCTTAGACCTACTCAATCCATGACTCACAAAACAAACTGAAGGAGGATAAAAATTTCTGGAAACCTTTAGAACTTGATGTTTAGAGAAACTAAGTACAAATGGCTAATAAAATATTTTCCATTATGATTGAAGTTATTGATTGCTAACAGTCAAAAATCCTTTTGGGATAATTAATGAAGATTTCATCCACTGTTCTTGCTTTCACAACTGTCATGCATCCCAAAGGATACCGTGACCACTTAAAACAGAGGAAGTAAATGTGTTAGGCAGGCAGGTTTAGAGTCACTGAGAAAGGTGGTCATAGTTGACAGCTATGAGGGCCCAGAATAGGAGCACATGTCTGAGCCGTGGGGACTACATTAGATGAGAGATGACCTGGAAGATGCTGTGGGATAGATTTCTTACAAAAAGGAAGGGCAAGATTCCAGTAAAAAATTGGTGAGACATTGTGAGATACTGACATGCCAGCACAAATACCATAAGGAAACTTAAAATTAATTTATGTATCTGATAATTATCTTTACAAATCAAGATACCCTTAAGGTAACAGGTCTTTCCCACTGTAAGCTTCTTCCTGGAATACTAGGGTTTATCTTCTCTTGAGGCTGCTTCATTCCCTTCATATTCCATTTTTTAAAATTGCTTCATGTTAGTAACACTCTAGGCATTATTTAAGACCACTGCCATTACCATAATGAAGTGTTGCTATTTTTCACATGATATGTTAACTATTGAACACTACTTCCTCTCTTAAGGAAATTTATTCTCAAGGAAAAGCTCAGATGAGTGGTGGCATGCTCAGATTCCCATTACCTGTTCACTGATGACATATTAATTTAAAAGTGTCCATAATAGCTGAGCTTTTAGTGTTTTTTAAAAAAAATTTGCAACAACAAAACAAAATTATATTCCCATGAGATAGTATGCATCATAAGAACAGCTTTGGAGTTAGTTTTAACTTTTTCTCTTGGAGGATAGAGAGTGGCTTATTAGATGTCAGGTATAAACTTCATAACAACTTATTATCTCTCATTTCACAGTAGCTGATAATAAGTAAGAGCAAAAATGGTGAATACCTACTGTTGCCAGGTAACTGCATCCACTGTGCTTCCTGCCACCTTCATGAATCTATAAGGAACAGAAAGAACAAATAAAATAAGCTGAGACATAGATCAGGCCAATCTTTGGGCTGAGAGTCCACAGCCACAATTATGGCCTATCTGGAGTTACTGCAAGTTAAAGTATACAGAAGGTGAAGGTAAGGGTACTTTCACCTCTCCACATGTCCTTTACCATCTAGAAATCAAGACCCCAGTACAGCATGCTCTCTATGTTTGTCTTCCCAAGCCCTTGCCTGATGGCTTCCACATCACTTTCCCCATGAACAAAATTTCTCTCTCCCATTTTCTATTCTCTGAAGACTCTGAAATCTGCTAGGAAACAAATAAACAGTAACATTTCCCAGAATGATACCACAATAGATAGATGCCTTTGAAAAACCTTAGTCCTCTCCTTCTGAAGAGAGCATGGCAAAACCCAATTTAGTTATGTAAGTATAAAGCACTATCAAATACACCCCAGGGATGGCTGCCATGCCTATCTGAGTGTAGAAAACTGAATACCACACAGAGAAATCTTTTTCTTTTTAGTGTTTCAAGTTTTTATTTAAATTCTAGTTAGTTAACAAACAGCGTTATGTTAGTTTCAGGAGTAGAATTTAGTGATTCATCACTTACATATAACACAGAGACATCTAACTATTTCTGAAGCAGTGAAGTAGAGGACTGAGTGTCATCTGACATTTGCTCAGCTCAAAAGGGAAACCAGACCTGTTTCCTCACAAAACACACAGCAAAGCCTTATTTTATTAATCCCCCAGCCTTCTATGCTTCTACCAAAACCAAAGAACTAGGAAGAAGCATACAAGGCCCCACAGATGCCACAAGGTGTCATAAACTTCAAGTCTGTGAATGACCCAACTACCTACTTTTCTCCATTATCTCCATCCACATGTTCTGAGGCCATCTGCTGTCAAAGCCATTGTTACTATTTGAGACAGTTACACCCAGATACAGGAAATCAAAAGGAGTTTCTCAGTTCTTCAAGATATTCCTTTCAACCCTGAGACCCTGGAGGGGAACTCTTCTTCAGACAGAAGCACTTTTCCATCAATACATCATGACCAAAGAACTCTTTCGCTAAGAAGGGAGACAGTGTTTTGTCAAGAAGGTCCTATCCCACCCTATCCCAGCACAATCTGGCAGGGAGACACATGGCAAAGGGGTTGCCATGTGCTGCCCAAACAGAGGCTCTGCTTTGTCATGATGGTGGAAGAGTACTTAATCTTTGCAGGACTGAAAGAGAGAGAGAGAGAGGATGCCAGTACTGCTGTTTAGCATTGCAGTGAACTTTATAAAAGATGACAAAGAAGGAGAGGGAGATGGGGTCGATAGGAGAAAGAGTATGGGAGAGGAGGGGAAGGGGAGGAGGTGGCAGCTTGGTTCTTGTCTGTATGGCTTTGTCTGTTTTCTCCAGTACCATTTAGTAGTCCAGGAGCAAGAATATGGGAAATGGAACATAGGCGTGATCAAGGAATGGAATTGGTTTGATGGGTAAGACCAAAATGTAAATGGAGATTGAAGGGAATGAGTACCTACTTAGTACCAGCCATTCACATGTGTTATTTCTTATAATTCTCAAAACTCTTTTGCTTGGTAAGATAGTTATTATTGATTCCATTATACAAATTACTAACTTCTCTCCTGGCTGGAGAAATAGTGTCTCCAGACATCCCAAACAGCCCATTTTTATGGAGTTATGCCACCCCTCTTAGTAGCACTTCTTGGGAAGCAGGGCATGACGAAGCAAAGCAATAAATACAAGCTGGAAAATTTTGAAAATAGAAATATTTTATGTAAAATTGTCTTAATTTACATATAAAATAACCATAATAAAAATAACACTAACATTTATAGTGATTTATCACTATAAGATGTTTTTTAGCTTCTTGTAGATATAATTTCACATAGCCTCAAAACCACCTGGTATGTAGTGAATATTTCTGATTTATGGTCCAGAAGGCTGAATCTGGTAGAGGTTATGTGACTTGCTCAAATTCATAGAGCTAGTGTGGACTAAACCCAGGTTCTCTGACTCCAAGCCCTACCCTCTTTCAAGGATTCTATGCTGCCTCCAAGCTGTTTTCACTGAGGCCAAGAAGTACAGTAGAACTCTAAGATGCAAAAAAAAAAAAATAATAATAATAATAATAAGTTGAATTCTTGCCTTGAGAAAATACTAGCAATTTACCTTCTTTGCTTGTTGGCTTCCTCTCAGACTTGAGCATTTCATGCCTATTTGTAAGAGAATATGATGAAGCAGGTATCAAAAGTGACTGACCAGGGGCCTCTGCCATACTACAACCACCCTGAAGCCAAGAAGAAAGACCCAGAGACCATCAGCTATCAGAGTTTCTGTTGCTGTACTACTCGTACAAACTAATTGCTATGGGACAGCAAGTCAAGGGAGCAGTTAGCTCTACCTTTTGTGGTGTTATAAGAGAGATAAACATTGAGAAAAGCTTTACACTGCACATGATACTGAATATGGCATTGAAAGAAGGGTAGGATTTTGCCATGAAGAGCAGGCCAGACATAAGAACAGCCTGAGCAAAGCAAGGTAGAAGCAAGGTGGTGTGTTCTCAGGAGTCCAACATGACTGGATGTTAGAGGACAGGTAAGGGAATGACAGGAAGTCAGGCTGGTCAGGTCACTAGCTGCTAGCCTATGATGCTAACAAGTCTGGTCTCTCCCCCTTAACAACTAGGTACAAGTCCAGCTCCTATTTATCTTTGTAGGACTAGTACCCAACATAACATTGCAAAATACAGCTGGCTCTTTCTTCACGTATATTTGTTGGATTTATCCTGTGTCTAAACAAATAAGGGAGTATCAGGATCAGATTTGAGTTTCAGGAAGATCACTCTGGCTATGGTAAATGTGAAAGGTACTGCTGTGGACAAACAGGAAGGAGATGACTGCAGAGAGATGGGAGGCTTGGAATGTAAGAATGAAAAAAGACCCACTGAGTAACACTGATGGAGCACTCAAGAAGTTGATGGGCAACCCAGGAACAGACTTTTGATGCTGATGTTGGTGAATGTATTCCAATTCTCTTGAATATGCCTCAAAGAACTGGAAGTAAATAGTCATTGATGATAACAGCTATGCATTCACAAGAAAATTAGGAGGAAAAAAAAATCATCAATGCCCTGCTTGGCTAAAAGGGTCTGGGCTGGGTAGGCAATTAAGAAGACACCTGGGGTGCCTGGGTGGATCAGTGGGTCAAGTGTCCAACTTTGCCTCAGGGCTTGATCTCCTGGCTCTGGAGTTCGAGCCCACATTGGGCTCTGTGCTGACAGCTCAGAGCCTGGAGCCTGCTTCAGATTCTGTGTCTCCCTCTCTCTCTCCCCCTCACCTGCTCGCACTCTGTTTCTCTCTCTCTCTCTCTCTCTCTCAAAAAAAAAAAAAAATTAAAAAATTAAAAAATAAGAACTCATCTAATTTGGTGTCTTAAAAGTTGGAAACTTGTTCTTCATGATACTATAATCTGGAGATCCTCATATGTATTGGATAGTTTGTTCTGCTATAGGTTGATAATTAAGTCCTTAAGTAACTTTCCATTATTAAAAGTAGCAATATAAAAAGAGTGGGAAAACTAGAGTTAGGAACATTCAAAGTAAGGCTAATATTCTCCCCCCACAACCTACCCCATATTCCTCAAAGAAAATCTATAAAATCTATAATTAAATATAAAATATATTGGACCCTTATATAGAATATTATAGTTTATAGAGAAATATTTTTAAATTGAATAAAGGAAAAGACCTACCATGATCCTGGATAGGAAAATCAATTATCCTTCCTAAACTAATTTATGGGTTTAATGAAATTCTAATAAAAAAACCCAGCAGATATTTTTGAAACTTTGCAAAATCATTCTAACATTCATCTCGAGGAAGCCAAGAATATTCTTTAAAAATGGAATAATGAAGGGACATTTATTTGATCTACCATATAATAAAATATACCATAAACCCCACAATTATTAAAACATTCCTAGGAATTAGAAAGGAGATCTTAGGAACTAATAAAGAGATTAGGAATTAGTAAGGAGACCTATGGAACAGAACAATTTTTTTAAGTTATACATACGAATTTATTACATGGAAAAGAATTTTAGTATATGAAAAACTGAAGCATTTTTTTAATGATGCTATGTGATTTGTGGCTATTTGGGGGAAATAATTAAAGTCAGAGCCTCACTTAAGATCATATTTTGTATAAGAAATCAAAATAGTAAAATATGGTTTAGTTTCATTATATTTAAAGAATATTTCAATTACAATGTAATATTTAGAAACAAACGATATTATCTTTAGTAGTATATTGAAGCAATAGAAAAGCTGTTTTAGCTAACTTTGAGGAAATGCCATTATTAAATATGTATTCACATGAAAATTGCTATAAACTACGTTCTTCCTTTTTCCCTCCTAGCCAAATGATGAAACCAACTTCAAACATATGGAAGCATTTCTACACTTATTCTGAGGAGCAAAAATCTAATTCACAAATAATGTCAAACAAAATATGCATTTCCAAATACTACTAAGATGACCAAACATACCCTTATTTTTTGAAAAGTATAAAAAATTTATCTCAAATGAGGGAAATGTTCTGTTTTCAGAAGCCTTTGATATATATTTTTAAAACTAAAATACAAAAAACAACCACAGAAATAACACATATAGGAAATTAATTAGACAAAACCCCAAGGAATAGACATTACTGAGTCTGGGGCTTCCCCCCACCCCCATGCTCCTTCCCTGAAAATTAGGGCTCTCTGTAACTACCCTATATCTGTATCATTTCTATACTTTGTTTTTATATCTATATTGTCACTGTGGAAGGCAACAAGTCCAAAAAGATCATCATTTTCTTTGTTCAAATTTAACATTGATGGATTCTTCTGCTCTCTAGTTCTGCGTGTTTCTCAGAAACTAGCCCAAACCACATAAATGAGTGACTTCAACACAGCTGCAGAATGCTCAGCAATGGTAATATTAGAGG